TGCCTTCCCAGATTCTCAGTCCTTTGGTGATCACTTAACTGGACAATCAGAAACTAATAGAATCAACTTTTCCAAACAAGACATACCAAGAGAAGCCCTAGCAGCTCACCTGGGTCATTGGCTAACAAATATATCACCTCTTCAGAGGGTTTGAATTATAGACAATACAGTCACCCCGGAGAAAATCAAACATTCTTTTTTGTTAAGAAAAAGGAAGGAACCCATAATTGTGCTAGAGAAGCAAAGGCCCAGGGAAGGCTGCCCTGTGGCTGGAATGAGCCTTTCTTTTTTAGCCTATAGGTCAAAGGAAATTGAAGGAAATGAGCTAGCAGGGGAGGAAGCAATGGGGAGGGGAGACAGGGGGTATTTTCTTCTCAAAACCAAACCCTGATTTTGGATTAGCTCTGAACAACCAAGGGCAGATGTAATCTGACCAGGACCCAGTCAGCCTGAGTAGTGACAGCAACAGTCCCCACCATCCTCACCTGCCCCTGGGTGCTGGGCCAATTGTAGGAACACAGCTGTCTATGGCAGCTGTGACAGCTACTTCTTCCAATCAGGGCCACGCTGGGAAATGAAGAGCTGGACTACCCCAGAGATCCCAGGGCAGCCCCAAAAGGCAATGCAGGGTCTGCAAGGAATGTTACTAGGTAGCTGCAGCCTGCGGCAGGGCCACCCTGAGCAAGTCCGGCTGTGCCTCAGAACTGTATCCAGTTTCTGCCCTGCTTTCCCTCTTGTTCTCTAGCAGCCACAGCGATCCTGCACACATACTGTCTGACTCCATGCCCCAGGGCTAAATGCATCACCGGGGCCCCTGCTCCTTTAAACTACCTTTTACCCTCATCATGCGTCACCACAGTGAAAAGTCCACCCCTGTGTAAGGCACACACATGCCGGGAAGATCCAAGTACAGCGCCCACCAGAACAGGTCCTGAAGCTGATTTTACTGCAAGTTTAGGGGAGGAGGGCTTCCTTTTATAACACAAAAGTAAAAACAAAAAATCAAGAACTTATCCCTCATATAGGGAGACTTAACTAAGATCAACTTGCTGCTTTCCATAGGTCCATGGGAGGCACGAGTTAATGAATCCACGACTGGAAAGCCAGTGGCAGAGCTCTCAGCACATCTGAAGCTGCAGTGCATCAAGTTAAAATAGTCTTGTCTACTAAAGTATCTGCCTTCCCTGTGTGCCTCTTGTATTCCCATAGGGGAAGTGAATTGAAAATCACCAGATACTCTGCTACGGCTATATAAAAGCTTTAAGGTGTACCACTTTCATAAAATGATGCATTGCCATAGGAATAAACGAGGATGCTAAAATAAACTCTTGACCTAGCTTTCTCCAAGTCGCCAATTAAAGGAGCCACTTTAAATTCTTTGCTGTGGCTTATTCTTACAGCCATTTAAAAAGTGCTTTTCAGAGGCAAAATGACTGCTCTCCAGGCCTGGGTCTCTACAAGTAGCTTAAATGCAGAGTCATCTGAGCCCCAACCCATACACTGAGTTCAGCTGTGAAGAGCTACAGGAATCTTCACGCTTAGTAACATAGCAAAGGGGGAAAGAGAGCTATTATGAAGATTTAGCCCTGGAATCCCTTTGGCTGTTCCCAACAGAAGACAAAAGATGTGCCACTAAGACCGGAGCAAGCAAATGAATGGCCACTCATCTAGAAAGCTGTTGGTGGTGGATGCATGCTGGAGTGTATGCAGGAGACAGAATTTGGCTAAAGTGGTGCATGATGAGGGTAAAATGCTGCAGGGGTTCTCTGAACCTTGCGGGGAACCGGTGAGCTCTCAGATTGTGGTGGGGAAACCCTCTGTCTCCCCTGTGATATAATACTTTTGCAAGGAATGCGATGAAGTAGAGCTGGCGGTGGCCAAGTGGCTTTGGTCCGTCTCCTCCATGGGCGCCCCTGTGCGGTTAGTGGGTGCATGTAGGCGGTGGGCGTCCAGCATCTCCAGCAGCAGGTCATAGAGAGGCACCACGTTCTTGCACTTCATGCTGTACAGATGCTCCATGCCTTTGTTACTGTGGGTGGGAAGACACAGAGAGGACCACTTTAGAGCCAACCCAAGCCCCAGGAGGGCTGAAATCCCTAGAAGGGGAAGGAAGAGGAACTCCCACGACATTTGGTAGCCAATGTTTCTTCCTGTTTAAAGACCCATTTTAGGATGGCAGCTGGGAAAGCTGAGGGCTTTCAGAGGCCCTGATCTGAAACTCATGGCTGTGTGGCTTTCATGTCCCGCCTCCTACGAGGGCTGTCCCACCCTCACACTCTCCCTGCAGCCACTTTCAGGGTATTTGCTATGCAGGTGACTTCCGTGGCCTTCCGCAGCCTCAAATGAGATCCTATTCCCCTCTAATAGGATCCAAATGCCTTCAGATAGGATTGCCAGTGCATCTAAAATGAGAACGTGAGATTTCCAGCCAAGCAGGGGTGAGTATTTTAAATGTGGAAAGCAGTTCAAGATCAAGACACTCCCTTGTTAAATCTCTCGAGTTGCTTCCCATTTAACTCAGAATACAATCTAAATGTCTTTCCATGCTCTACCAGGCCCAAGTGGTCCAGCTTCCATCTACTTCTCCAAGCTCTTCCTGCCTGTCTCCCCTAACCCACTCTCCTTAGCCACACTGATTTTTGTGCTGCCCTTAAAAAACTAACCTCCCCCAAGACTTAGGGGATCTGCACTTGTTATTCCTACTTGGATGGGATGCATCCCCTTCCCATCTCCAAATGCCGCCTCCTCAGAAACGCCCACTGCTACTCAGTGGTAGCGGCCTCACGCCTCTGCAGTCTCAGCCTTCCTCTTTCACATTGTTCTGTTTTTCTCATCACACTTATTGCTACCTGAAATTCTTTTTATTTATTTGTGTCTATTCACCCCACCTCTAAACACACACATGAACACACTCACACACTCCGTGAGAATTCCTGGAGAAGCAGGCTTTATCCTGCCCTCTGCTAAGCCTAAAACAGTGCCCAGAACTCGGTTAATGTTCAGGAAATGGGCACAGGGAAATGCAGGCGAATGGCATTCTCCTTTCCCTGCTCTCCTCCTCTGCTCTCCTCCGCTGGCCACAATTCTGCTGTCCCTACCACACTACTGGTGGTGGGAGTTGTGGTGAGAACAACTATTATCTAGCTTGAAATTTCAAAAGAATGTCTTAGAAAAATTTGTGTTTTTAGTAGGGGATAATTCAGCTAGGTTGGAGACCTGCCATGAAAACACAACATCAAGGCTATTCAGGGCCTACACAATATGATCTGAATTACTTAAGTGTTGCTTTTTAAATTTTTTTCATTTAAAATGCTGTAAAAGTTAAATGCCCCCTGGATCTGCCAGTGTCTTCCTCCCAAAACCTGATGATTCACATTTACAGTTGGATGAAATCTGGTATTAAATTCTCTGCATAGCAACATATGTCTGGGGCCAAGATTATTTAACAAAATAGGTTTCTGTGATTTAGATTGGCTGTAGTGAGGAACTGAAATATTGTTGTATATGTGTGTGTGTGTGTGAGAGAGAGAGAGAGAGAGAGAAAGAGAGACAGAGAGAAAGAGAAGGGGAGAGAGAGAGATAGAGACAGAGAGACAGAGAGAGGGTTCAAAGCTTTCAGTAGAATAACAACCTCTCTCCAGCTTTTCACACAATTTCAGCAGAAACTACAGAGCTTTCTCACTGCTACTGCCCTCTGCCAGACGCGGCCAGTAAAATCACCCAGGGTTGTATATTTAGTGCAGATTTACTTGGTATTAACTAACTAGGCTTGCTAATGCTGACAAGCAGTTAATGGATTTGAAAATTCAGCAATTCCTATCAACAAATAAAAACATTCAACCGCAATGCATTGAATCTACAATATCACTGAAATTCCTAGCTCAGAGTCAAAGCTAATATGTTTTCTTCCAGGGTAAGGTTATTCTCTCAGCCAGGGATTTTGGTATCTAATCCATTCATGGCTTCCCTCTCTATAATATTCATCAAAAGGAAAAGGAAAGACTGGAAGTGTATACTCTGAATGCAGTCACCTACTCTACCTGACAGCTGTGATTCCTTCGTCTGTTACACAGGGATCCTTGGGGAACCCTGAGAATAAAGATTGCAATCACCTTCTTACCAAGTAGAAGCCAAATTCACAAGGCATGGAAAAGCCTTCCATGAGTCATTTGTTCATTAATTCATTCCCTCATTTGCTTGTTCATTCACTCAGTAGTAATGTTGTGAGCATATACCATATATAAGTCTTCATATATGGCACTTTGAGTGATACAAAGAAAATAAGACACATCTATTTTCCCAAGAGCTAATAATTTTTTAAGGGTGTCTCTGGAAAGGGTGGTGCCCAGGACTTTAATGGAGCAAACTTCTTGCCATCTGAATCATGATCTCAACATTTGAAAGTCCCTTAAAAAGAATCAAATCCAACCTCCTTCAGACATCATAGGCCTTCTCTCATAGCCACTACGAGAAGGAATCTCTTTCATTCCTAGGGTCCTGGTGTAAGCCCAAGGTCATGTAGGCTTCATCACCCATGAGTACATGTCCTTCTAATGATATCACTTGACATCATCGTTGTGGCTTCATCACCCATTGGTACCTGTCCTTCTAGTGTCATCACTTCCAATCATTATTGTGGACCTGCTGGAGTCTGCAATAAAGAACCCACCAATCTCCCCATCTCTTCCCTGCAGGTGAGGTCTACTTATGAGAGTGGCATCCACTAAGCTTTTGGCTAGCCACATTGCAAAACAATGGAATGGAAATGAGTCCACTGTCACCTTTTGGCATAGACGCTATTTTCTCTGCTGATGTCCTTCCTTAGCTGTTACAGAAAATATTTGTTGAGTATTTCCTATGTGCTCTGCACCATGCTAGGTGATATTGGGTAAGCAAGCCAGATTGCAATGCTGGCTTACAGAGTTGTCATTCTAAATGGGCAGAACAATAGTAAAATGGGTAGAAACCACAGAGAAGAACAGGGTGTAAGTTCTAACTACTTCTTAAGGGTTAGGAGATGCTTCTGGCAAGAAGTGAGATCTGAGCTGTGATAGATTAGATTATTGCTCAGAAATATTCACTTCCCCAGCAACATGTCCAAGTTTGACTTTGGGCTTCCCACATGCTTGCTTGGCCAATGAAATGTCAGTGGATATGAGTTAAAGAGTAAAATGTATTTGCCCAAACAGGATCACTTTCTGGTACCCCTGCCGTTGCTATGAGAACATGTCCCAGCAAACATATGGGTACAAGGAGGATAGGAGATGTGAGACATGGAGCAGAGTCCTCCTGGCCTCAAGCAGCTGCCTCCCAGATGTGTGAGTGAGCCTAGCTAAGGACAAGAGGGCTGCCCAAAAATCTGAAGCCTGAAGAAGAACCTCCCAAGATGACTCATCCAGCAGTCAGCTATTATGGCTGGAGCTCAGACACGAGGAAGTCCTCATAAGCTAAGTGAGGGCTGAGTCATCAGGAGTAATACAAACACAGTGATAGGGTTTATACTTTAACCTAAAGGTAATGAGAAGCCACTGAAGGGTTTTAAGCAGGAGGATGACATCGGATTTTGTTCTAGAAGGATTACTCTAGACACATCATGGCGTATGATCTAGAAAGGATCTAGATTAAAGGCGGGGATACATATTTGGTGGCTGGCAGAGAAGTCCAACAGAAATGGGGTTCAACAGATATGAAGGAGTTAACATTGACTCTCCGTGAGGCATCTGGCCCCAGGGTCTCTCATTTAGGATATCTGAGTATAAAAAGGGACCATAACGATGTGCCCAGTGTCTTCAGGGAATGTGTACGCTCACAGACTTCTCCTGATTGGCTTCCTCCTCCTGTTTGCATACCACACCCAATCCCTAGACCCCTGCCAGAAAGCACATGCTTTAAACCAAGCATAAGTATCACTTCCTCTATGCCTTCTCTGACACCTGCCCCATGACCCATGCAGATTTAAAATCTCTCTCTTCTGTCCTCCCATAGCATTTATGCTTATTCTGTACCAGGAACTGTCATAAGTACGTTCTCCATATGCAGGCACCAGTCCTTCCCGGCCAGCTTTCACATAGGTTTGGGAGCATGTTTTCTTTATGTCTCTTTTGTAGGAAGCCCGCAGATGCCTCACCTCATGTGCCTGATGTGGGAGAGGATGAGGAGGAGCTGGGCCAGCCGCCGGTGCTGCTGCTGCAGGGTCAGGCCTGCCTTGGCCATCAGGTGGATCAGAGTGTCTGTGATCTTGTCCAGGACTCGGTGGATATGGTCCTTCTCTTCCAGAGACTTCAGGGTGCTGGACAGAAATGTGTACACTCCTGAATGCGCAGAGAGAGAGTGAGAGAGAGAAGCTCAAAGAGGATGAGGTCTAGGAGACCCAGAGTGTTCATGGGATGTAATAATGAGCCAGTGCCCTTCCCTAGCACAGAAATCTAGCAATGGGGACGTCCTGGACCCATTTGAAACTGAGTTACAATGTAAAATTCCTAATGCATATGCAAGTCTCAGAGCACCAGAAAACCAAGGGGGGCTCCTTTGTGTGAGCCATGACCTACAAAGGGGCTGTTAGCCTTGGGACTGTCATGGCCACATGGGCCACACTTTTTCAGACAGGTCTGACACCAACATGAATTGTTCATGTAATGTAATTGACAGCCATGTGAGCAGCCACTGTTGTTCCTTTTCACATCAAGGAACTAAAGGGCAGAGAAAGTCAGCAACCTGCTGGGGAACTCGGATAGTAGGTAGGCAGAGCTTAGATGGAACACAATCTGCTGACTCCACATCTGGTAATGATAAAGGAGACGCTCTCTCGGGATATGTGTGAAACTCGTGGTGAGAGTCAAGAGAATGATGAGCAATTGGCTAAGTGATTGGAAGGTGATTTTTCCAAGTAGGATTTCTGTTTTAGATCAAATTTGAAGTCTAAGCACTTTTCAGCCTCAGCAGAAAAGTGTATGACATGGATGGGTATAGGCCACCTTGAAAATCACTTTTTTACGGCCACATAAATTTTTCCTCTCTTGCTTGTTTTCTGAAATACATTCTGCTCCCTAGGCCACAGATGATAGACCCAGGACAGAAAGTGAGACCATCACAGTGCCCGGTGCTTCTGGAAAGTAGTAGCCTCAAGCTAGAAAATAAGAGCCTACTTCTGAGATTATATATGAGGTTGTGAGACAGAAGTTCTTTCCCCTAGCATTGCTAAACTGGGAGGCTGAGACTAGGGGGCTCTGAATGGCCCCCTTCCCAGCACATGGAACTCCTGTCTGCAGAAAGGAACCTACTGACAACAAGCAGAGGTGACACTGTGTGTAGTGGGGAGGGATAGAGGGGGGAGAGAGACAGAGAGAGAGAGAAGAGAAGAAAGATCCAGGTAGTAGGTAGTAGTCACAAGGTCTTAGTTCTTACATTTTTTTCATTTGACCTTTGATCTTTCATATATCCTTCCTAACACATGTATCAATGAATCCCCTTTTTGCTTAACATAATGTGAGTTGGATTTCTGTCGCCTGTAGCTGAAAAAATTCTATTACAAGCAGTTGTGACCTCAACCCAAGGGCAGGAAGAAAGTGAGTGACAATGAGGTGAGAAGTACTGAGAACAAGAGATGGGCAGAATGAAACAGGCTTTTTGGGGACTATAAGAATGCATTTTCTAACATTCCAGAAATAAGCTCCATCCTGCCTAACCACACCCCTTGCAGGGAGCAATGACAGTATTTTTTTTTTCCAGATTATGTGTATTTATAGCAACACTTTTTTGGTCATACCACTATTCAGCCCATTGACCATCTCACAAATCTATTTCTTCTCCTGCCCTCTCCCCTTCCTCATTAGCACCTTTAAGAGCTAAATGCTCCCAAGTTTATCAATCCCTGACTTTATGGGGATAACATGGTGACAAGTTACTGCTCACGTAGCAGTTCGTAGGTTGGGAATGGGAGAAACACCTACACAGAGGAACTCATAGTAAACAGAGTTGTAATTGCCCAGAATGGAAAATGGCTAAGCTTTAAAACAAACATAACAATAACAACAAAACCAGAATGGTTGGGATCTTGACTTCCACGTAGTTGAATAGGATTCAACTTCCGGTGCAGCTTTTGGTATCCTGGGGCACTCTGATCTAAAGCAAACAGCACAGAATGAGTAAGTAGCAGAGAGACAGCAGGCTAAGAAGGAAATTGTTGAACTACTTCACTTATATTCTATGTGGGCTGTTGGTAGAGAAAGAATGTGTCTGCCGGGCGTGGTGGCTCACGCCTGTAATCCCAGCACTTTGGGAGGCCGAGGCGGGTGGATCATGAGGTCAAGAGATCGAGACCATCCTGGTCAACATGGTGAAACCCCGTCTCTACTAAAAATACAAAAAATCAGCTGGTCATGGTGGCGCATGCCTGTAATCCCAGCTACTCAGGAGGCTGAGGCAGGAGAATTGCCTGAACCCAGGAGGCGGAGGTTGCGGTGAGCCAAGATCGCGCCATTGCACTCCAGCCTGGGCAACAAGAGTGAAACTCCGTCTCAAAAAAAAAAAAAAAAAAAAAGAATGTGTCTGTCAGAAAAATGGGCAAACATCCTGTGGCCGAGGTGTTGGCCTGGACGTGGCAGACAGTAGAAAGTGTGCACTGGGGGTTGGGGCTGGGAGGGCCTCAGCTGACCTCCCCCCATCTCTGCCTCTCACAGTCCTCTGTGTCATCAAACACAGTGCAGCCTCACATCCGCTAGAGCCCCTGCCTCGGCTGGATATCCTAGGAACCTGCCCAAGCCACAGAGCTGACTTAGTCCAACTTGGCTGATGTACTTTCTACCAATTTCCTTTTTTATTCCCACCCAGGATGCCGGCCGCATTCACCAATAATCCTTTTCTTCTTCAAGGAAACCACATAACAGAGACTCAAACAGCTTGGATGTCCCTGCCTGGGAAGGTGAGATGTGTGTATCACTTCTCTTCTTATTGTTTGCACAGTGCGAAGGCACACCATGCTGGGACCTCAGCGACCCCGAGAGTCGGCATTTCTCTGTGATTTTGCCAGTGGAGGTCAAAGACATGGCACTCAGCTTCTGGGGAGTGACATTTTTTCTTGGGCTGCCAATGTTCCATCCGCCTTAAGGTTCATGTGGGTTCCTTTCTCCAGCATGCACTTACTGAGAACCTAGTATGTGCATGACTATGCTAAAGGTTCCAGGCCTTACTTCCTTTCAAGTGTTAATGTTTTAAGAGCAGATATTGCCTACAGAGAGAGGGTTCTTACACGGACTCTCAGGGTGCAGGCCATTTGCGAACAAGCCTGTTTTTCTAGTCCTGTTTTGGCATCAATACAGCGTATCATCTCATCCTTGTCAGCAGATGCTTCCTAGCTGTGCAAATATTCTGAGAAATAAAAATAGGGTCCCGTTGAAATACCAATAGTTGACAATAGCAGCCATCTTCTTTCTGGACTTTTCTGGCAAAATGCGGTCCATGTTTGCTGCCTGTTGCCCTTCAGGGCCCATTTGGGAGAAACAATAGAAATCCAGATTCCCAGAATGCTTCATGTGCTTTGGCAACCGCTGCTAAAGAGCAAGAGCAAAACAGGATGCTGGTAACTTCCACATCCCAGGTGGTCTCTGCCACCCTGGATGGCCACACCACTGTGCCCAGCAGCACAGAGCAAGTGAGCAGAGCATGAGGGTCTTTGAAAATATTCTTGCAACAAGGCAGGCTTTTGCAACTCTGGAGGCTGCTCCACATCCCCAAGATGGAAACAAAAACAATCTACATGTCATTATCCAAGTCTTGAAATGCTGTCAGCAAGTCTGAGCTTCCAGGCATTCTGAATCTTGCAGCCAATAAGAAGGTATTTAGGAAGAGTCAGGGGAAATCAAGTGGTACAAAAGAAAGGGGAGCGAAGCCACGTGGATGCCCCCATGTACAAGACATCTCAACCCAGTCTCTTGCTCTCTCCCTCTCCTTCATTCTCAAGTCTGCTGTCCCTCACCTTCTCTCATTTTGCTAAGATTCTCTCTTCCTTTTCCTCTTTCCATCTCCACCCCAGAGGAATGCCCTTCTCCATTCCTCAGTGCTTTTCTAGATAACAGAGTCTTCCAGAATCTGGAGGAGGTATGCTGTACACTGCAGTGCCCGTGCCCATGTGGCTGTGCCCAGAAGGAAGCCCTAGTAAAACCAGGGGTCCCCTTGCCATGATCCTCCATGGGGGGTACATCTAAGTGTCCTGGAGAAGTGAGAGGTGCTGATGCCTATGGCTTACTAGATGCTTGAGGACAAACTCTTCAAGCCAGGCCAGACTTTCTTTCTGTTTCTGAAGGAAGGATGTGACAGCAGACTCTGAGAGAGTCCTTCAGTCTATCACAGCTTGATCAAAAAAAGAATGACTCAAAGGAAAAAGTGAAGAAAATTCTTCAAGTCACAGTTTAAGTAGTCTGTACTGGAAAGCTGCCACTTGGCTTGGAGGAGGAGGGGCCTTCAGCATTCACACAGGTCTTAGGGATGAGTCACACGTCAGCCTTTCGCCTTTTGGGTGCTCCAATGGGGACTCATTCTATAACCTAATAGCGCGTTTGCTCAAAAGTGCCACTGAAGCTGCCGGTCCGATGAACACCACGTTTGTTGTATGCTTCTCCTATGATTGTGGTTCTTCCTGGGAGTGGCACCGTGCTGAACAGGGTGTTTGGGCAGCCTGAGGCTGCTGCTGTCACTTTGTGGGAGGGGCTTTACTGGATGTTCTACAAACAGTGAAGGATTTGTTCCAGTTCCTATACCTCTCAAATGCCCTACTGAACTAAATCTACTACAGATAAAAATCTATAGTGGGTGGGTGCAGTGGCTCATGCCTGCAATCCCAACACTTTGGGAGGCCGAGGTGGGTGGATCACTTGAGGTGAGGAGTTCAAGACCAGCCTGGTCAACATGGTGAAACCTCGTCTCTACTAAAAATACAAAAATATCCAGGTGTGGTGTCAGGTGCCTGTAATCCTAGCTACTC